CAAGCTTCCTTACTCTACACGCCTCTGTTTACCTGGCAGTAAGTAGGAACCTGGTTGTTAGTCGATTGGGAGATCGATTTTCTGGTGATAAGAATCCCTTCAAAAAAATTTTTTAAATGTGGTCAATCAATCCAGCAGGTGGCATTCAAGAGTAATATACAGTGTCTATCGAGAATCAGTTTGTTACAAATAGGTAGTGTATTGGATTAAGATGTCGCCAATAGTTCTTTCTCCATTCATAACAGTGAATTTAAAAGTCATTTTCATATTCACTGCTTTAATTTTAAATTAAAAATTCAACTCTCCCACAGTTGTATAGCTTTGGTATTAAACAAACTTCTTTTACAATTAAAAAAATCATCTTTACATTTGGTATAACATCTTTCACGTCGGCAGGACAGCTAAAAGTGCTTCACAAGCTGTACTGAAAAGTGCAGCAACTACGAGTTTTAATTAGTTAAAGGATGTGCAGAATTAAAAGTTGGTAGTTAACTCTACCTGGGCAAGACAATCATATCTTCGGACGAATGTGACCCCACCTAGTTCACCAGTCTTTTTCCTGTCGGACGTTTTACTGTTTGGGTCATTCAAAAGGAAGAATTACTAACTGAAGTCTGTAAATATAACAAATTTGTCATGGTTCCTAATTGATATTTTAACGGATCATATTTTTACCCTAAAAACATAAAGAAAAATTATCGTGAGATCTAATTTGCAGTAGTGAAGTCATCCCAAGCTACCATTGGACTCACATATTGCGGATTTGGAGCACTGAATAATGGGACACCTGCTTATCTTAACACAATAAATCATCTTTAAGATAGTATCTCGATAACAGGCGTCAATGTGACACTGTAAGTCTAGTGGAAGCTGCAGGTGGGTTTGGGCCCAACCCAAGTGATTTAGTTGGTGGTGAAGGAGATCTGACATCCTGGGAATGTGTTGTATAACACAACTCCCTGCATTATTAGTTAGAACATAATGATACACCCGTGAAAAAAGAAGCATCAAAGTACTCTATTCAATGTATTTCAACGTGGTTATAAATTACAAAGGATTTAAAAAAAATAAATGCAACACCTTCCTGAATGTGTGCACTCACTGTCATTTATTAACTAGTTTGTTGAGATTTGTGGAGTCCTGTAGCTCAGTGGTTAGAGCACTTGCTTTGCAAGCAAGACACCTGGGTTCAATTCCAGGCAGGGCGAAACCTTGGGCAAGTTTCCTTACTCCACACGCCTAATAATAATCCCTCCAAAAAACCCAAAACAATAATAAATTGGTCATTTTCAATCTACGACTGTTTGTGGGACATTGCTGTGCGCAATTGGCTGCCGCGTTCGCCCACAAATATACAGTCAATTCACTTTACAGTATATTCTGTGAAGCGCTTTGGGACGTCCTCCGACGTGAAAAGCGCTATATCAAATGCAAGGATTATTATTATTATTATTATTATTATTATTATTATTATTATTATTATTATTATTATTATTATTTTCCATACAGATACAACAAAGAAATTCTCAGGATCCCCTTGCAAAGTTTCCAAAGTGCATCACTTTAGACATTGTTGCTCATTCCAAGATGTTGCTCACTGTCCTGGATTACCAACAATAACTTAAATTCATACAGTGCTCTTCACATGGGTATAGTCTTGAAACGTGTGATTCTCTGGCACTTAATATACATTAAGAGCAGTTCTGTGCTATGGGCTCATAGCCACTAGGCACTAGATTGAGATTTCCCAAATACATCTCACCACATGGAAGTTTTACAATCTGAAAATTAATAACCTTTCTGAAGAAAATAATTTCTTTGATGAAAATTTTGTTCTTGTGTTTCGTTGAATAACATGCATTTCAATTCATTAACCATATCATGTTTAACATAGTGAAATATCCCTATACCTGCTGTAGGGAAACACTATCAGTGTTCTCATGTGGCCCTGCCAAAAGCTGGTCACATCGCAAGTAGGATTTGTGGATAAGGGCACTCAGTCTGAAGGTTGTGGATTTAAGTTTCATGATTGGGGTTGAGCTCATTGCCCAGCTTGACACTCCAGTGCAGCTACATTGTCGAAGGTGCCATACTTCGGTGAAACACAAAACCAATGGTGGCCAACCCTTTTGGTAGGTCAACAAAAATACATTTTCTTGATTGAATATTTCTTGATTGATGACATAAATTAAGAAATATTCAATCAAGAAAAAAACTGGAAACAAAACATTAATTTAAAACAGACTCACCTAGATGAGTACGAATGTTTGGTGGGCCACTCCTTGATGGCCGTGTGGGGCACTACCAGCCTGTGGGCCATGGGTTGGCCACCACTTCACTAAATCAAGGTCCCGTCTGGCCTTTTCAAATGGATGTTAAAGATCCCACTACACTATTCAAAAAGGGAAGGGGGTTTCTTCCAGTGTCCTGGCTAACAATCCCTGTTTGCAGGACTGCTGTGTGTAACTATCTGCAGTGTTTGTGTACAAACATACCATCATTACACTTGACACCAAATCCTTCTGAAGGGCTTTGAGTGCTTTGAAGTTATAGGCACTATATAAAATGCAAAGGTTATTTGTATTAATATTTGATTGGGGATAAGTGGGATATTTGCTTTACTTACATTTCTTGGTTTGATATAAAAGCAGGTAACTTGCTAATTGGCAACACAATTCTACTGTACGCAAGAGAAAAGTCCAATGTGTGGTGCAACCCAATGAGAAATATCAGGAGACTCTGCCTATAGTACATCTGCAGACAAGATGATGTGCTAACTGTCATTAAATTGCTAATTTCAATGCATGTGTTAAGTATACCATAAGAATTAATAAACACATCACAGCATTGCAATTTTCACCCTTTTCAAACTTTCGCATTTGTAAAAAAAACTGGAAAAATTTACTGGTAGTCACTCGAAGGCCACTGTTCCGTGCTGAATGGGGGAGGGGATGGGAAGAGGACAGGAATTAGCGGATGGAATATAACCACACATATTGTATTTGCACTCAATGTAAACACAGTTTGCACTGCTCACAGCATGAGCCTATTGTACAAGAACTCCTCAGTTGCCCAATTTTATTAGATTTTTGTACTATATTATCCTGCTTAGGTATGAATTGTCCAGAAGTTTTTAAAAAATGCACAACAATTATTGAACTGAATTTCCTGAACTATCAATTTTGGGGCTTGATTTGGGATATTCGCCAAAGCACTCAGAGACGGTTTTCATAACCCACGGAAGTGCAAAGAATAGGCCAAAGAAGAAATTGAGGAAAATGGTGGTTCACCTAGAGACTTCCCCAGACTTTTCTTTCCTCTTTGGCGGTTTTCAGAATCACAATTATCATTTTTGAGAATGTTTCAAATGTTCCAGAATTGCATTAGCTTTTCCCATCCTTTCACAAATATGGCAAATTAAACCCGCTTTGTGAGTGTACATGAAATGCTTGAATCTGCCAAAAATCACAAAGTACCTGCAATTAAAACCTTTCCTTAAAACTTGCCCTTAACCTGCTTTCTACCCACTCCACTACCCGCTGCTTCCGCTCGGCTGGTTCTGGTCTCCTGCTTGTCCTTCATCCCCTCCGCTCCACCATTAGCGGTTGCACCTTCAGCCACTATGCCCCGAAGCTTTGAAACTCTCTCCCCCAATCCATCCGCCATCTCCCCCTCTTTTAGATCTGACTGAAGACCTTCCTCTTCGACAAAAAAAAATTGTGCATTTTTTTAAAAATCTGGACAATTCCTCCCTCTCTGCCGGCTTGGCGACAGGCTCCACCACCACCACCAACAACAAATTACATTTGTTTAGGCTTTTCACGTCAGCCCTGTTAAGCGCTCCGAGATGTGATGGGTGCCATACAAGTTGATGTTGCTATTGTTAACGACAGGTTTGGCAGAGACTGCTGAATTCTATCGATCAAGCAAGCAAGTTCTCTGGCCTCTGGGTCAATAGATAAGTTTTGGTGCATAAGAGAAATCTTGACCCTCTTTTGTAGATCAACACTAAAAAATAAAAACCTAATCAAGAAAAGAACTGAAGAGACTAATGTAGTGCCAAAAATCTGCAAAATAAAATGTTGCTGTTTTGGATACAAATGAAACGGCAGATACTGGGAGCTGAAAAGGAAACGGCTACCTGGTAAGCAACAGATTACATTGGTGTTAAATAGGCAACAATGTAAATTTATGCCCAAGTCACTAATGTATTTAAAAAAAAGACCAGCAATATTTACTGATGAATACAATTTTAAAAAGCTCTCTGGAAAGATATTAGACTGCCTGTTACCTGAGAACATTCATTGGACCACAAGGACTGGATTTGGTATCTATTTTCACCTGTTGTGTTTATATTGGAGGGAATCAAACTGCTTCTTAAAGTTCTGACGACGGGTTGTGGACCCAAAATGTTGACTCACTTTCCTTTCTCCATAGATGCCGCTTGACCTGCTGCGTGATCCCAGCGACTTCTGTTTTTGCTTCTTAAACACTGGTTGTTCACTGTGTGTTTCATGACAAATTGCTAACAAAATCTTATATCTTATATACTGGTGTAGGTAGAATTCGCTGAAGTTATTTTGAATAAAAATTGAACCTTTGGTTTGTAACCAACACCAAGGTGCTATTGACCTTTGACTTCTATGTGCATTGTAAGGACATGGATACTACTAATGTTTAATCAGAGCATCTACCGCTTTCAGCAAAAGGATTAGTTAAGGGGGCTCGGTAAGCTATTAACTGCCTCCACATTACTCCCTGCTCTCAATTTTCAGATCCGAGTAATTAATTTTGAGAAGAAATGGGCATTTCCTTCCTTGAAATCCTGCTGTAGCTCCCCCATTTGTCTCTCCTCTTGGCTCAGGCTATAGTCATCACTGTCTGTAACACAGCATAGGAATCATGTGTTGTGCTACTCTCATCCCAGCTGTGAAACAACCAACCAGTGCACATTATGTAAATGAATGTACTATACAGATACTGGCAGACCTTCTGCAGAATGGTTGTTATGGTGATAGCTCAAGGCCTTGCCTTTCAGCTTATATGAGAGAATAATGTTCATATTTCTCTGGGGGGGTGAGAATTGAAATCTGAATAGCAAAAGGGAAAAAAAAACCTGACTGACAATAAAGGGATCAGTGCAGTTAGGTCGTGCAGGCAGCAAGCAGTCTTTCTCGGTCATGCCAGTTCTTATACTTGATGCTGAGTCACTAGACGGTATCCCAAAATCCCCTTGTAAAAAGCTTCCATCAAAGACCATGGAGGAACTAGAACACACCTGCCCTCAGCCTCGCACGGTGAGTCAAATTATGAAATACATGTAATATATATATATATATATATACATACACCTTTGGTAATTAAGCACCTGTGAGGTATGGTATTATCGGGGCGGGGGAGGGGGGGCTTAAGGAGGGCAGCAACAATAGTAGTATGTCCCTCAAGGGTTTTAAAAACAATACTGTGATTGCTGTGTCCTTACTTGGCATGTTTTCGGAGATGGTAAATTTCATAGCTGCCTTTTTGTATGCGAAATCAATGGTCAATAGTGTCCATAATCACTTGTACCTCAAGGTACCAGTGATATAGAAAAAAACAATGCCATGTCTAAACGTTTCAAAATCCATCTGTTTGGTGCATAATGAACGACTTGTTTGCTCACTTTAATTGAATCTCCCTTGCAGCTTGCAGAAGGTAAGCATGCTTTCCATAAGATAGATTGGAAAAATTTGCGTTGAATATATTTTATGAAATATATGGCGCAATCAATAGTTCATGATTACTTTTGATAGCAAATTCCACTGAAAATTTCAAAAGACACCCCTGCTTTTGTATCATGGAGTAAAAATTATGCTCCAGGCCTTGAAAGTGTTAAGGTAAGCTGCATGTATTCAACGATTCATGTGAGCCAAGCCTGTCGGGAAACTAGGCTTTCATAGATCATACTCAGACACCAATAATTTGCAGCACTGTACAATATGTAAGTGACAGCAAATGGCAGAAAGTAATTGTCTTGCTTTAGCTTCTGTATGTTGATTTGAACTTTGATGAAAAGACAAGGTTGTGCGGGTTAATTAAAACAAGCAGGAAAAACGTGTCAGCTTTTCACGAGTAATGAACTGATCAAACTGTCTGGCAACTGCAGCCCATTAAACGGAACTCTGTATACATGAGACATGCCATGTGGACATAATTTCAAATGTCAGAACCATTTCTGCCATCATTGCAGCGTCTCCATGTCAGCTGATATTTGCCTTCACTTCTCTGATAGCAAATGGTGGTGTTTTGTTGCTCAGTGGTTAGAGCATTTGCCTCACAAGCGAGAGACCTGGGTTCGATTCCCAGCAGGGCGAAACCTTGGGCAAGTTTCCTTACTCCACATGCCTGATAATAATCCCTCAAGAAAAAAAAACAATATTAATTTGGTCACTTCAATCCACGACTGTTTGTGGGACACTGCTGTGCGCAATTGGCTGCCGCGTTTCGCCCTCAAAAATGCGGTCAATTCACTTTACAGTATATTCTGTGAAGCGCTTTGAGGCGTCTAGAAGATGTGAAAAGCGCTATATCAAATTCAAGAATTATTATTATTATACTTTGTCCTTCCTTTTGATTTCTGTACACACAATCTTAATAATTAATTTACCTTATGAAAATAAAAATAATAATCATTACATTTAGTACAACGCCTTTCACATGGGGAGGATGCCCCAAAGCACTTCACAGTGCAGTGACTGCAGTTTTATGGACAGAATTTTAATTTTCGCACAGCAATGTCCCACAAACAGCCATGAGATAAGGAAAAAATGTATTGTTGGAAAAGGATTTCAGTTCCAGATAATGCTCACATCCAAGTTTGTTACCCTCCTGGTATTAGCAGTTGCCAGTCAGCACATTGGTAACACGTCCCATTGTGGTTAAAAATATAGATGCTTTTCCCCTATAGAATCACAGTCATGGCTAATCCACTGCAAGAGTGGCATTGAACTTTGGGTTCCTAAATTTCACTTGGTTTTGGCCTGTTAAGACCATTTTAATATAATATAAATATAAGCTTGTGCAGAATATTTGAAAATTTGTTCTTAATTTGGAAGTCAGTTCTTTTTAATAATTGGGAGACTTATGACTTCCAAAGGATGAGGGTGCCTGTGGATATATCTGCACATTGGAGCAACAACACCTTCCTGGGGTAGAGGATAGAACTGAGGAAACATTACATAATAGAAGAGACACAGAACGGCAGAATGCAAGATTGTGTCTGGCCTTAGCAGCAAGAGGGTTAGAATCAGAGGGTTAGAAGCTGATATTGGCAGAGAGGCGTATAGACCTGATTGGCTTCTCAATCGTGAATGGGCTGTGCATTAAAAAGGAGTCACAAAATAACACAAAAAAGAGCTATTTACGATTAGAGAGAAAAGTCCAATCTTCTGGTGTCAAGATTCATGTCTTAGATTGCATGTTCAGATAAAGACCATACAACAAAGCACAGTCTGCACCGGAATTTAATCTATTGGTACAGGCATAATAACATCCAGTTTGCATATGCGCCTGGAACAAACAATTTCCCGTTGTCTATGAACTGTCGTATATTAATATACACATTGTCTTTATGTTGAAGAGAACAATAGAGTATAGCAACCAGAAAACTTAAACTTGAAGCCATCCACGTTGTTCTGCTCTGTATGCCAATTGGGTCATTTAGAGGAACATTGTGTTCTAGGTTTGGATCGAATATAAAATAGAATCTCTTGTTTAATTTAATATTCAATGCATTAATGTTTGATGGTTGGTCTAGTGGCAGGGTAGAGATATTTGATGTGGTTAACGAGAGGGCACAGGTTGTGATTGCTGACACATTGCTGTCAGTGATATGCGTTTCAGGTTTCTTATTTGGGAGATACAACAATTACCATAAGTAGACTCTATTCCTGTGCTTCATTCCTTACACAAGCTCCACACTCACAACAGCCAGTCACCCTCAAGGTGAATGATAAACCATAAATGATAAACAGTGTGATTTGAAATTTGTTACTGAACTTTTTGCACATCACTGGTACTCGAAAAGGTTCAGGCCTGCAGTTATCAGACAAAAGTTATCAGTCAAATTTCATTCACTACAAAATATCAAGAGTAATATAAATAGTTAAAAATAATTAATGAGGCAGTGAACTACTAAACACAATGTACTGCAAATACTGAAGTAGAAAATTAACCTACAGCTGTTGAGGGGTAACATATCGATTTAAGAATACAGGAATCAGGGTTTTGTTCTGCTCAATGAAAGAAAACAGAATTTCTTTCTGGTTTTCGTTTCCATTAGCAAATATTAATTATATATTTCCTCAAAGAATCAACTCCCAATGAACACAAAGATCTCACACCCACTAAACTGAACTGATTTGCTTATGGGACCAGGTGTGCTTAAGTTGTCGTAAGTGATGGATTGTGGTTCTCAGGAAAATTATTTGCAGTAACAAAGTTGATGACTCAGTTGCTAACTAGAGATCTTTTTGTTAAACGTTTACATAACCAATATTCACCTGTACTTTTGTAACTTAAATAAAACTGGATATGAAAAAATATTCTACTATTGAAGTGATGTAATGATGTACACAGCCAATTTCTGGGTTTGATACTTATAAGTTGAGATCAAGAACACGGGATGATGGTCATACTGTTTATTGTACTGAGGCTGTGCCCAGATGATCGAACGAGGGGAGAATTATCCTGGATTAGGTTAGTGTCATGTGAAGGAGCATACAAATGCTGGCTCCAGGATATCAGAATGAAGAAAGCCTGGCACCTGAAACTGCATTTGGTGTTTCAGTGTTGGTAAAATGGTGTGAAAATGGCAAATGCTGGTAATTTGGAAAGGGGGGTATTTACTGAGTCTGACAACAACAGCAAGATTCCATTTATTGAGCGCCTTTCACGTCGGGAGGACGTCCCAAGGCGCTGTACAGTTGGGTCAGGACCCGAGCAGTGGGAAAATGGTCAGGGTGAGGGGAGGGAAGGGAGGGAGCGAGGAGGGGGCAGAGAGTCGATAGGATCATATCATATGATTTGTGTTTCATAATTATTTGATATAATTACATTGAATCTGTTATGAATCACATAATTTATCATTTTTATAATAATATTTGCATTTAATATTGTGCCTATAACATCAAAATATTTCAAAGTGAGACTTTTTTTATGAAACACAGGTAATTGCCGTCAACTCTACTTTTTTACATAGAGTTGAGAGATCTTTAATGTCCATCTGGTTTATCTGAGTATCTACGTTTCTATTGAGGGCCACTGATATGTTAATTGTTCATTTTCCTCTTTCTTTGGGTTAGGGTAACAACAGGTCCAAAATAGCCTTCAATTGTGTCCATCTACTTTGATTTGCAACTGTAATAGATTTACATACTGCTACTAATTTATTAAAAGTCTTGCACACAAGTTCCCATGTCAGGGACTTTGAACTCAAGGTCTAGGCTGACACTCCAGTGGGGGGAAGGGGGAGTCCTGCATTGTCAAGGTGCCACCCTTCAGATGAGACATTAAAACAAGGTATTGTCTACCTGTTCAGGTGGACGTTAAAAAAAATGACACAATTCGAAAAGCGAAAGGAATATCTCCTGGCTAACAAATCCTCCAGATCTGTTGGTCATTCACATCCTGGCGGTTTGTGGAACATTGATATGTGCAAATTGCAGCCACAACTACAGTTACTACATGTAACAGTAATTACTGTGAAGCATTTGAGACATTTCAAAGTGATGAGCTGCTATATCAAACACAAGGATGATTCCTATTAATTGTAATTTAATTATTATGTGTCTTAACAAAATGGACAATTGGAGCTTCAAAAGAAGTAATGATTTTAATTAATTTTTACTTAGCATATTCAATTTAATTTTAATTTTCCTACTTGCCAGCTTCCTGCCCAGAGGGTGTGTGGATAATAATTACTTCAGGTGGGATTTGTCCGAAGCTCATCTGTTTGCAGCCACTGGGTAAAGAGAAAAAATGTCTTGTTTTATGCACCCATGTGCTCCCATTGCATGCGAGTCTTCTCCCCATTGAGCCCATACACTACCTTCTTTTGCCTTGTGCTGATTGTGGCTGTTAAAGGGCAATACTTTATGTTTGCTTCATGGAGAAATTGCATTTGATCCAGTGCAACAAGGAAAGATGGAGCTTCAAGTGAATAATAAGTGAATATTGTACCCACTGGAGCAGAACACTTAATTTCAATCGGGGTTTACAACTAACTCTTAAAGAAAGCTGGGAGAGAACATTTCCATAA